CCACTTATTTTGCTCAATTTAGTAGGAGTAATGTATTTCTAAATACAAATTTAGTTTGTGTTTCCTTATTCATTAGGTATCAAGAGCAAGGGAGTACGTGATTCTGCATTTTGTAGATATGGAGAGGTAGAAAATAAATGTTGGCTGAATGCAAAACAATTACAATCTGACAAAAGAGTGCTATGCTCAGGCTGCAAGAATTTGTTGAATGACAGAACAGAACACATGTAATTGTGACAGCATCCTTTTCAAATCTGTTTCCCAAGAGTCTGTGGTATTTGAGTAGTTGATACATATCATATTCACTTAGGATGCATTTCCTGATCCTACAAAGGCTGGTTAGTGAAGCAGAGGCAGCAAAGTGAGTGCCTTGGGAGCTGGAGTGAATGATCTTCACCTTTCCTCTAGCTAACTCTGTCATGAGTCAGAACAGAAAACCAGTGCGGGTGGGTTGGAGCCTTGAAGGGGGACTGAAAAGGAGGAGAGACAATGCGATTGAGTGTATTTATGGTCCTCTGAGAAATACAATCTCCTTCAGTCTCCTGGCCCTTCTCCAGGCAACTACTTCTCTTTCTCAGGTATGAGATTTTATTCAAACAGTGTGTGGGAACAGAGGATGTCTTCTTCGGGATGAGCAGGAAAGACGCCTCCACAGCCTGCTGTGAAGATATGGTGGTGAGCTGAACCTGTATCTCCCATCCCTTCTTGGTGCTCTTTCTCTGCCGCTTTCAATCTTGCTGCCTTCTTGAGGAACAGAATGTAAACACCAAGCTGTATTGCTGCCTTTGGCCTCCTGTAGGATTTTCTTGTAGTTCTTTGAGCATTTATAGATAAGATTTACGCTTGCATGCTGGGTTTGTGTGACAGGGTTTGGGGAGTGAGGGAGGGGCTACAGGGGTGGCTCCTGTAAGAAGCTGCTAGAAGGCTCTGCAGCTCCAAGTCAGACTCACTCTGGCCAAGGCCTAGCCAATCAGCCACAGTGGTAGCACCTTTACAATAACATATTTAAGAAGGGAAGAAAACCTGCAGTGGGGAGAGGAGTGGGATGTGAAAGAAACAACTATGCAAACACCAAGGTCAGTGAAGGACAGGGGAGGTGTGCCGGAGCAGAAATTCCCCTGCTGCCCATTGCAAGATGGCAGGCTGACCCACTGCAGCACATGGAAGTTAATGGTGGAGCAGATGCCCACCTGCAGCCCATGAAGGACCCAAGGCCAGAGCAGGTGGCTGCTCCCAAAGAAGGCCATGACTCCAAGGGAAGTCCGCACTGGAGCAGTCTGTCGCTAGGAGGACTGCACCCCATGGAAGGGACCCATGCTGGAGCAGTTCATGAAGTGCGGATGCATGGGAAGGACTCAGGCTGGGGAAGTTCATGGAGGACTGTCTCCTGTGGGAGGGACCCCATGCTGGAGCAGGGGAAGAGTGTGAGGAGTCCTCCCCCTGAGGAGGAAGGAGCAGCAGAGACAACACGTGATGAACTGACTGCAATCCCCATTCCCCATCCCCCTGTGCCACTTCAGGGAAGGAGGCAGAGAAATTGGGAGCAGAGCTGAGCCCAGGAAGAAGGGAGGGGTGTGGGCAAGGTGTTTTTAAGATCTGGTTTATTTCTCATTATTCTACTCTGATATGATTTGTAACAAATTAAATTGATTTTTTCTTCCCAAGTTGAGTCTGTCTCTTGCCCATGACCATAACTGGTAATGAGCCCTCCCTGTCCTTGTCTCAACCTTCAAGCCCTTTTTGTATTTTCTCCTCCCCACTCCACCGAGGGCAGGGAGGAGCGAGCGAGCGGTCATGTGGTGCTTTACTGCCAGCTGGGCTTAAACCACGACAACTTGCTAACCTGAGGAATTCATGTGTAACTCCTCAAGGCCCTAGTGCACTCGAGAGTCTGTGCAAATGCATATGCCACATACAGACTTGTGGGAACTGAAAGTAGCTCTAAGATGAAGTTTCATCCTAGACACTATTTTGAAGGGGAAAGGGGCTTGGAAGGAGATGATTTTCATCTGCCTGTGTTTATTACAAGGTATGCGAGTGAGCAGAATGCTACAGTATTGACAGTCTTTAAAGTTACAGGTATCAAATCCTGTCCCGTTATTATATGATCAAAGACTCCCTGCTTTCTAAATTTCAGGACAGGTAGAATTGCTGTACAACTTTTCTAGTAGAAGCAAGCTGTCCTTGGAATACACAAAGCCAGGGGGTTTTGCTGGATGTAGGGTACCTGTTAAGTACATTATCAGCTCAGGATTTTCAAGAAAATAAGATATCAATACATATCACTAAGCTATTGAAAGCAACGATTAGCACTGTCATATTTTCTCTGATACAAATTACCTACTCAGAATGTTGCTCTTTGACACTAGCATCAAAATATTCATGAAGATGAGGTCTTTTATGGCTTGTAGGACTACATATCTAATCACAGCTTTACCTCTGCCCAACATTTCAGATTAAAATCAAACTGCCAGAGACAAAGTGCTCAGACATCACATTAGATATCCAGGACAAGGTTCTTGACCTTCGAACTCCCAAAAAGTAAGTGAAACACAATTGATAGAAGTACAGTTAGTATCTTGTTTGAAAGGAGGTTTAACCAAACCAACTGAATGCTGCGTGGAAAGAAAAGCTAAAGGTGAAGATCAGGTTATTTATTGCACATAAGAAATAGATATAGACAAAACCAATCACAATCCATCCGTAGGTGTACAGTATGCTAGCTTTGAATCTGTGATACTGTTCTAGCAGAAACAGCTTTAAGACAGATTTTGGCTACTTAAACAACAAGGCTTCAAGGGCCCAAAATGTCTGGCAAAAAAACTGCCCATGGGCTTGAAGGACTTCTTGCGAATTTGCTTTCTAAATACTAATCTGTACAAATATATAACTGAAGACGGTCAAAAATGTCCAGGTACATTTTCAGAAGTTGAAAGTCAGATTGTGGACATATCCACAATGGATGCAGAGATGGAAATGTTACGAGGTTTCCCCCGAGAGATTTCCTTTGAGTTCTTTTTTTTTATAGGGCTATTTCCGACCTACAAAGAAAATCAACTGGCTGATATACTCTCAGTTTGCCTCCATATTTCCCTCAGTGTGCAATTGGCCTGACTGAGATTTCCAGATAATTCCCGTGTCTGTTTTGCTTTAAATCCTTCACAATAGAGTGCTTTCATAAGAAAGCTTAATCCTCTCTGGGCTGACTTGCTGCACTGAATGGGATGTGGAAAGATCCGTATGTGAATAACTTTCTGCAAACAAATTCAAGGTACAGGCCATGGATTAAGGCACGAATAAGTTCTTTCCCTAGTGAACTAACTATAGAACAGCCACCTTTCTCACAGACAAAACCAGGCTCAGGCAGTTACCTTCTGCTTGGATTTAACCCAAAGATGCAACAGGAGTGGAAGAATGTTTGGAAGTGCTAGCTCTGAAACTGGAAAATCAGGAGGAAAACTCGCTCAGCTAATGGTTTGCAGAACCTATAGGTAGTAAAAGAGGTAGGTTAATGCAGCACTGCAGATGTAGGAAAACTTCAGCATCCTTTTTCTTTTGCAATTCTTTTTGGTGACTCAGATCTGCCATTATCTTCTTAGCTGTCTCTAGTCACAAGCCTAGCAAATAAAAAATTTGCCATAAATCTAATGGTTGCTCACAGCCTGAGCCAGTGCTGCTTTCACAAATATAAGTGCAAGTCTTCTCAGTATGAAAGAAAAAAGATTTCAAGTTCTACATACTCAAAACCACTGTACTCTCACAGATGTGTAGGAGGGCTCAAAGGAACTGCTTCCAACTTTTTAGTCCTGGGGCTGATTCTAAGCCAAGCTGATTTTAAGGACTTCTCCAAATTATAGTAAATGGCTGCCTTCCATAAGTGGGGTGCAAAGGTGTTTCGACTGTACCTCTTTCAGCCATGGCTCCTACAAGACAGCTGAAAAGATCTGAGAAAGAATCAGCATGACTTAAACCCCAGTTTAAAGTAACCCCATCTATGCTACCATGTTGTCTTGTTGGGCTTTACAGAGTTTGGCTGGGCAGATGTCTTGATTCTAAAGTGTCCTTGACTGTTTGCACTGTTAATAAAGTGGAGGTCCAAGACTGGCCCATCATTTATATTTTTAATATAAAAGCCTGGGATAGGAGCGGAAAGGGCCAAGCCTCTGCATGAGCAAGTGAGTTTGAGCCATTATCAACGAGAAGAGTTGAACGGGTCCAGACTGAGATATCCTCATGAGGCAACAAACCTTCCCAGCTTTTTCAGGAAAAGCTGTATGTTTAACATAGCGAGGGACTGTGGAATAGTTCCGGAGTCCAAGATCCAGCCTTTCTTTGTGTATGATGTGCCTGAGCCACAGGTAAGGGAGCACTGAATTAATCTTCAATGTAGGTTAAAATCCCAGCAACTTCCTAAGTCCATTCTCATACCCGAACTGTGCTTTGCAGTGTAAACTTATCCTTTTTCTGAAACCGCACTGGTCAGAATCTCTAATCAGGCTGCACCGCTTATTTTGCTTTACTAGAGGGGCAAACTCCTGCAGAGACATTCAGGCTTTAGGCATTATTCAGATTTTTACCACCAGGAGAGCATTATCAATGCAGCTTCTCCTTCCTCTGCATTTAAAATGCAGCACTGTGCAGAAGCAAGAACAGTGGAGAGAGCCCACAATCCATCGTTGGAAAGCATTGTCACAGCCACAGCCAAAAGAAAGCAACAGTGTTGGAAATATTTCAGGGCCTGCATAACTGTGCATCAGGTATGGCAGGAACCCCACAACCTGTCATGACAGCGGGATGTACTGAAAGACCTTGCCTTGGTATACTTACTGGTGAATTGCAAGAGTAACTTGCAATGCCGCCTCAGTTGCTCACCTGGTCTGAGACATTGAAATCCACTGTGTCCTCTTTTACAGGAAGCTGCTGCTGCACCTCCCCTACTGTGTAGACAGCAAGAACAGTAAAGCTCGTTTTCTCTCTGAAGAGGAGACCTTGGAAGTCACTTTGAGATTATCAAGGATGTTTGATTTCATAAATTTTGAGTGACTGATAAATAGAGAAAGTTTGCAAAGTGTAATCTCTTAGTTTGAAGGCTTCTTGACACCTCACTGGTCATGAAACAGTAGCTTGTTTCCCTTGAACAGTCCAGGGAGAATAGCCCTGGAGAAATTGAATGAGTCAGGAGGAACATAGCACCCATAGGTTCTATAAGCTGAGGCTGTCGAGCTCTTGCGCTGCTTTGGTTACCGTTCTGCTTCCTTCAGTCTGATTCAGGCTGTGTGAATCAGAAAACAGGAGATTACGATTCTGTAAGCAAGAGAAAGTCTTTTTGTGCTTATGCCTGATAAGTAGCACAATGAGGCTCTGGCCAGCGAGTCTGGTGCTTAGTCACTGTTGCAAGACTTGCAAGTGCTAGTGTTCTTGCTTGGCCTCCAATGCTGGGACTGAGGCCAGTTCAGAATCTCCTCTTAGCTACTTCTTGATGGGAAGATCAAAGCTCTTCAGGCATCCATATCCACATCTGAGGCTCCTTTACACCGACAGAATAAGGTAACCAGCTGTAGTTGGATAGTTGAACAGCTCAGCTCTTTTGAACAATTTTTGACAATGTATGGTTCAGTGTCATCTGTTCACCTGCTGTCCTTCCAGCTTTTTTTCTGATCTTTCTTGATTAATAAAGGAGTGTGCTCTAATGAACAGTTCCAGTTACTTTTCACTCTGCCTTCTCTGTATTATGTCCCAAGAAACTTCCTAAAACTGAAACAAGAGGAACTTTGCATAACAAAGCCTCACTTAGAGGGCTGAAATGTGGCAAAAATTTTTCTTTGGCCTTTGGGTCCAATCTGGAGCTACAGAGATGGGTAACTGAGATGTTTCTTTTACTAGCTGCTGGGCAAATATGTTAATTTAATGTTGTTAATCATGCAGAAAACAAAGGTATTTGCTCAATGATCAAAGTAGAGAGGACAAGCAGGGCCTTGCATGTTGATGGATTTTAGGTACACTTAACCAAAAGCTTGTAAGCACTTTAAAAACAAAATGGCTTGGATCCTGCATTCTTCTGGCATAGAAGCAGAGGAAAATAATTGACCGGCTAGGTTGTAGACAGTACTCATGTAAGCAAATTTGTATTTGCTTATGGTTCCACAAATTGTTTTTGAATGTCTCTTACTTCTACTCTACAAAGCTGTGGTGGAGGGGAACAATGCAGATGTGTGAAAGGGCTGAGATCATTCCTACTGACTCAGTTTGTACTGTCTGTGATTGCCAAGAAGTTACAGTAAGGCTGTTTCTTGGAAAAATGTTGTCTTTGTGGTCCCTAGACAATATGCTGCTTCATTTTTGCATTTCTTATAAAAATTACAAGAAAAGTGGAAGATTGACCTGTGTTTATACACAGGTGAAGATGACATTTGCCCGAATTCATTCAGAAAATCCATGGCAAAGCAGAGTATAACTCCGCTCTTAAATATTCCAGTGCTCTAGCCACAGAGCAATATTGCCTTTATAGCTGGCAGTAGTCATTTACTGAGCCTTAAGTGATCAGGTTCTGCTTAATTCAGTGTCAATGTTTGATACTGAAAACTACGATGAGTTTGGCTCATGATGCCTCTCTTTGGAGTTTTAGTTTCCTATGGAAGTGAGCGTATGCCACACTGGTGTCCATGCCCTATTTTCTCCCCAAGTATTTTTTAACCTGGGGACATTTCACCTGCATTCAAGAGACAAAAATTAGAGGTAAGTATATTTTATTAAGAAAGTTACCTGCTGAATAGAAAAGGGAAATACAAATTTGTGCTGCCTAAGGGGGAAGTTCTAGTGTGATTTCTTGTACCTGCTGGCCAGTCACTCTGTACACCCATACTCCGGGCTACAGCAGGTCACTCACAGCAGTCCATGAGGGGAAGCTGACAAGTCAGTGACATAGCAGGATAGGGAAGGTGTTGCAGAGAAAGGGAGATGTGCTGGCAGGGGGAAGCTGAAATCACAGTGTTAGTGTATATGAACACAGCGGACAAACTCATAGGAAGCCAGGCTTCCTGTTTTCCACGGCTCAAAGGGACAAGCTCCACTGCTGTTTTCAATAGAGTGGAAACTCTATTGGTCCAGTGGCGGGCAATTTGCTGTTCGGATCATTGCCTGAATGCACCATCTGGAGATCCTCTCACATTCTTACTTTGTTCCTATCAAGGAGATAGAGGCTGCCCCAAGCAAAATGCTGGGGTTTGGTTTTTTTTTTCCATAGATCATCCCAAGAGGAAACTAGTCAAATGGACATGCAGGCTGCCAAGCTTCCTAGAAATCGGGGGGCTACTGCCAGCTACGAGAGAGTTAAATTTTTGCAAGGGCTCGAAGGCAGCTGAAGCTGAACTAGCACTGGCAGAAATCCTTTTGAAGGGGATACAAAACCCCCTTTGCCTCTGAACATCAAAGTGGTTGCCTAAGTACCACTCCAACACCTGCAGGCTTCTTAATTAATCAAAATTATGAGCCCAGTTAAATAACCCAGCCATTAAGCATCATCAAGCTTTATTTGGTTCCCTAAGAAACATCTTGATTAAATGTATTGCAGTTAAGTAGAGGGTACGATAGCTGTGGAAATGAGATAGGGGCTGTTTACAGTAGCATCCCAATAAACTGCAGGTTGTCACCTCTGTTCAAGTATTCTGTCCTCCAGTTGTGGTGGCAGAGCCACCATCCCCATTTTGACTTGCTCATGCCTTCTATCAGAACTGTGGTGATGTGCTAAAGCACACAGCCCAGCTTGCTCTGTGTGTTTCACTTCTCTTCATATTCCCCTTTGTCCACACACTGACCTTCTGAGGCAAAGATACTTTCCTCATTCTACAGCCTGAGAAAGAGAAAACCCAGAAGAGTTGCTCCATGTAAACACCTGAGACAGAGCAAGAACTTAAATTTAGATTTTTCCCTTAAACCTGCAGTCTAGCTTCCAGGTCTTTTGTTGGTATCATCATATACCCCTTGTATTTGTTTTAAAAGGAAGACTACTTCATTTTTCTGCTGTTCGGTTTAAAGGTTGTGTCCAAAATTTCTATGTACTTCTCTCATTGTGTGAAACTGCTTTATCGGTACCTGCTTCCCTCCAGATAAAGTTTATCTAAAACAACTAAGCTGTATCTGTGTGTACAGAAAGATCTCTCCCCTACAGCCTACAGAGTAAGTAAGGAGATAAGGCGTGCTTCTGTCTTTCTCAGCTAACCTTGGGCCCTGACGCTCGATGCATAAGGCTGGGCTCCTGTGGGCAAAACGGAGCTCTGCAGCATCCCTTGCAGGCTGCGGTGCACACTAATGCTCAGAGGAGTGCAAATACACAAAGGAAACTCTCCGTGAAGTAACCTCGTTCCCCAAGGCCTTCCAGATTTTCCATTCGGGTAGCAGGCGACTCTGAATGCCTAGCAGCATGGGCTACCGGCTATACAGCAAAACAGACCAGCCGGCAGAGGCATGCACCAAGGCCAGGCTGTGCAGGCAACGCCTCGAATATGTCCAGCAGGCTCACTGCATGCTCACACATCCATTCTTCGTGCACCTCCTCATGCTGGAGTGGGTGCCTTTGAACCTGATGGTGTTGGCAGACCTTTATGCTCTTCTCTGCAGCGCTTGCAGCTTGGATTCATCCTTATTCTCTGGGATCCCCTTCAAGAGCTGCTGCCATGGACAGTCAGTCACTCTTATCTGCCTATGGTCTTGGCCCCAGGGAAGGTGCCTAGAATCTGCTGGGGGTTGGGTTACTTCTTTCCTCTAATCTCCACAAACAGGAGACAACTTCTCTCTGTGTGTCTTTCTCTGCTCTGTTTACGTCTCTCTTCACTCTCTTTGTCTTCTCCTTCAGGTAGATTTTACTTTCAGATTGTGATGCAGAACAGCCAGTCAGCGTTTTTCCTTTTCCCTCCTTACTGTTTGTTCCATGCTCACTTCAGGGCACTCTGATCTCTTCTCTCCTTTCCTAACTGCTTTATCTCGCTTCCTTCTGCTGTTCTCACATCAGGACATTTTTCACCAGAGTCTCCTCACAGGTTGCTGTTGGCATACATGACCCTTGCTGGATGTGCCAAATGTTGGTGAAGTGTGTGATTCATCTCCCCTCACTCAGTTTAGCGCTGGGTGAAGCATTTTGTTCCTCCTCGCTATGTGTCCAGTCTGTGTGCACGGGAAGGAGACACAAGCAGGAGCACCACAGGCAGAACCTGGATTGTGTTAAGGCAGCTATATTGAAGGACCACGGCACAAAAGCAGCAGATGCCGCAGGTCAAGGCAGAGCTGTGTGAGGAGCGTCGACCGAATTGAGGGGGGGCCTCTTGGCATGGGCTTGAGTCTATGCTTCAAATGCAGCCAGCCCCACGGCTCCCCAGTGCAAACAGGCCTGGTTATGAAGGCATGAGCCAATTCAGAAAAAGTCAGAATCATTCAGAATTTCAGCCTTTCCCAAGGCTTGAAAATTTTCCTTCTACTTGCTGATGTATGTGTGTGTCTGTGTCCCAGATGAGTGCTTAGAGAAGTGTTTGAGATCCAGTCCAGGGCAACTGTGACACAGACAACTCAGGAGTGCCTTTAGTTTTGGAGTATTTCTCTCAAAAAATTGAAGTCTTTGATCATTTGGGGCTTACTCATCTCAAGGTCTCCTTTTCATCTCTTTAACCTATCTTCACACACTCATTTCTGAAGAGATCATAGGACATTGCCAGCACAGTAGAGGATCCTGTCCACCTACACCCCTTAGAGACCATCTCTCTCTAATTGTGAGCCTCCTTTGTGGATCCCAGCAGCCTGGCAGCTCACTTGTGATGCTGATCAGCATTTTTTTAATCCACGCCATTTAACTTGGTGGTATCACAGCCCAGCAAAGACTGCCAAGGCAGCTAGGTCGTATTTACCTTAACAATTCTATGATTCTATTTGGCAACCTATCTCCTGCAGCTGCTCGGCAGAGAAGAAAAGAGCCATAGACCTCTTCTGGAAAATTCCTTTCCTGTTGGAAAGCTGCATAAAAAGGAAGAGGATAGGAATGGAGACGGACAGAGCTG